GACACCTATTTGTCTTTTTATCTCATCGGATTTCTTAAGGAATTCAAAAGACATGCTGGACTCACTAACTGATTGACTTGACTCACCTAAGGTAGATCTGTGCGATTAGGCATGCACTAACAATTAACTGGGATGAGTGAGATGCACTGACAGCTAAATGCGATTAAGCATAAAAATTTTCTAACCTAAAACCATGCTCTGATACCAAAAATGATGCGAAACGGGGGAGGAGGTCCATCGGAATCAGCGATCTAAATCGAACAACGCACCGTTTCGCCAAAATTCATGATCTACGGTAGGAAAATAATTTAAAAACAACTAATGTGACTGATGGATTTTAATAAGATTTGCATAAATAGTGATGAATAATTCCAATCCCGATTAATTTAATTACAATATTCATTATCATTGCACAAGTTTTACAATCAATATCAAGTTTTAACAATCACATGTTCAGTTTATCTCAACTCACAATTATACTTTAAACAGTGAATATATGATAAGAGTTTAGAGATGTATTATTCATGCAATTAACTAACAAAATAAAATCAACAGAAAAATAAGGGACAAAAGAAAACGAAAGCTTCGTCGGTCTGAACAGACTCGACGTGAGAGACCTCTGGAGGTGGGGCGACAACGATGAACTGAACGACGATGACGAGGCGGAGATCTGACGACAACGAGTGCGACGGTGTTGAACTGATGACGACGTGGTGACGAATCTAAACGACGAAGGTGGCAGTGATTCTGAGCAGTGACTAGAGTGACGACGTCAGTAAGGTTGACGGGACGATAGCGATGTGATGATTTGTGGTAAGCGGCTGTGGCAGTGGTAGTATTGCTCTGGTAGGGAATTTTGCCAAACAGTTGGTGTACATGAAGGCGGCAGTTGCTGGGAAAGGAGGCTCGATGACAGTGGGAATAGAGCGGCTGCTTGGGAGGAGATGATGGCGCTGGTGGTGCGGAGGTGGAGATCAGGGGCGGGCTGAGTGTGGATCTGGTGGTTGCAGGGAAGAGGAGGGTTTGACTGATTGTTGACGTGGGGAAGATGAGGGAATGCTTGGCGACTGGAGGAAGAGGACACAGGGAACGGCCTAGGGTTTCACACCCGAGGCTTAGGTTTCACACCCAAGGCTTCACACTAGATTTTAGCTAATGCAATTTTTCATTCAATAATTCATTGATTTTTTAATAGTCTCATACAACCTTATTTATATAAAAAAAAACTACGTGCACACAATGTGCAATAAAAATAGAAACAAACAACAATCCATCAAATCACTCAACTAAATTTTAAAATTCAAAATTCAAATTTTAAAATTGAAAATTCAAATTTCAAATTTCAAATTTCAAATTTCAAATTTCAAATTTCAAATTTCAAATTTCAAATTTCAAATTTCAAATTTCAAATTTCAAATTTCAAATTTCAAATTTCAAATTTCAAATTTCAAATTTCAAATTTCAAATTTCAAAAACAAAAGAAAGTCAACTAATCAAATATGAGAATTGTCATTTCTTGTCCTCATCACTACGACCTTTTACTACAGTTTGGACCATGATCTTGAATTGCTAATGCATCTCCCGATACCTTCTCGGAGGGTTCGTCAACACTCTTCCTCAACTCATAATTCACTAACGCTGAGGTCATCTCCTTATAATTAACAGTCGTTCTTTCATTAATCATAGTGAGAACAAAAGTACCATAATCATCCTCGGACAACGAACACAAAAGTAGCATCGTCTTGTCTTCATCCTCAACAATGATATCCACATTAGCCATATCCGAAAGTAGCTTTGTGAAGTTGTTAACATGCTCCCTAATCGAAAACCCTCTCTTCATCTTGAACTGTTAAAACCTCTTTTTCAAGTAAGCTGATTCTCAATGCTCTTAGTAAGGTACTTCTCATTGAGCGTTTCTCATAATTTCTTCACCGACGTCTCGTTCATCACATCATAAATAAGATCTGACGTCAAGCATGACCGAATAAGTCCACAAACCCTATTGTTCAACTTCTTCTAAACCTTGTCCTCCATATCATTAGGTTTATCTTGTAACTCAAGAGTCTCCTCTAAATTCTGTGCGTCCAATGCATCCATCACCTGATATCTCCACAAACCAAAATTGATCTTGCCGTCGAACTTCGAAACTTCAATCTTTGTATTATTGATGCTCAGATTCTGTATCGCCTTCGTAAGATACGATCCCGATGTGTTTGCTTCTCTCATGTTGTTGATCTAACTCTTCAAACGAGAATCCTACAGTGAATCCTCTAAAACGAACCTCAAGTCGAACCCGAAGTTCTGATACCACTTATTGTGCGCAGCGAAAATTTCGGCAGCGCTTCTGGTGCACAACAAGAGAGTAGATCTCAACTAAATCCCTGTTTCACAAAAAAAACAAGAACCAAAAGTGATATCTCAACAAAGTGAGATATACACTCTTCCTCTCATCAGTTCTAGGACTAACTTGTCAAGGGAATCTAAATAAGCTATTACAAATCATAGCAAGACAACGAATTTTACGTGGTTCGGTAAGTTGCTACGTCCACGGGGCAATGAGGGGGAAGATCTACTATTAGAGAGAATACAAATAGGGTTTATAATCATACAAGGTCTCACAAATTAAACACTCAAACAATTTCTCAAAACTCTCACAAAAGGACAACCGCCAAGCCTCTGTCGTTTTATCCCTGTTGCACGCAGCCCAAAGAACAATCTACTGCGTTTTTTTTCTTTTGTTTGCACGTTGCCCAACACTTGCGTTTTCCCTCGCTACCTCGCACGAAACCCTAGGTACTCAAGTTGGGTATTTATAGCCTAGTGATGCGGTTAAAACAAATGTGAAACTGGGCCTCATCTTTTGTCCGCTGGACTCGGCGCCCGCGAAGCACGCATGGGCGTGGCCCCCACGTGAAGCTCATGTTCACTTCTCCAACATCGTGGCCCCCACACGCTTTGCCTCCCAACAGTTCTTCATTTTCATTATATTAGAAAATTTGTATTATTACATTACATGTTCCTTACATGACATATATACACTCAGTAGAGGATGGAGAGAGCATGGAGAGAGGATGGAGAGGCCCATGACGGTCATGATGAAAAGAGGATGGATGCCCCATGCTTGGCTCATGATGGGAGAGGATGGAGATGTGACATCACTGCATGATTATATTTAACAATCACAAGTCTATAGAACAATCACAAATATGCTCCTCGTGTTTACTTGCTAGAACTACGGTGAATCAGCATCTCTCTCCATATTTTGTAATCCCAAACACATCGAGGCTCATAGATGAATCTCTTTCTCACTTCATAAGGTATCAAGTAGTCTTAATATTCAATAAGCATCTGTACGTATTGACAACATTAATATATCATGATATGATTGAACTTTATCTAGCTCTAGATGATGCTATTTCACGAGTAATCCGTAAATATGGTACTGTAGTAGATTTCACTATAAAAGATAGGATAAGAAATGAGTGCATCCGTAATAAATTAGAGGTTGCTTCTATTGAGGATAAAATGAGAGAGAATCAATGTAGTTTGGTCATGTACAACGAAGACCTCTTAATGCACCAGTTAGACAAAATGATATTATCACAATGGTTGCAACAAGGTTTAAAGATAGACCTAAGAAAACTTGGCTAGAAGCAATTAAGAAGAATATGTTAATGGTTAACTTAACGGAGGAGATGACCAAAAATCGAACGACTATGATGCACGGATACGACACGAACACGGATATGGGATACGGTAAAATCCAAAAAGATAGGATACGAGGATACGATAAGGATTTTTTTAAATTATTATTATATATAGATGGAACGTAATACGAAATTCTCGATTTAGTATAAATGAGTAACTTTCTCCATCAGATTTATGATAATAATATGACGTTAGGCTGCTGCTCGAACTCAAAAACCGGAGGAGATGATAATGACAGTGGTGGTGGTTGTGCTGGACGGGGAGGAGGAATGGAGGGTGGACTTGAGGAGTCGGAGGAAGGAGGAGTCAGTCGGCGGGATCAGGTTGTAACAGCGAAGCGGTCGGCGGGAAGGGTCGGAACAGCGAAGGTGATCGAATCGAACGGGAGTGAGCTGAGAGATTGAGAGAGGATTAGGGTTAGGGTTTTTTCTTTATTTCTTTTATTTGAGTCAGCTGAAGATCGAATCGAACGGGAGATTTGAGAAATAGGGATAAGTTTTTTAATCTAACGATTCAGGTTGGATTTTAATAACCAAACCCGCAACCTGCAACCTGAATGAATCGGCCTTCGGCGAATCCGAGCCATGTCTGAGCTCCTTTGACCGTGTCCTAGCCTAATTTGACCGTTGACCCGTGTCGGACACGGATTGATCGTGTCTGACATGTGTCGTGACGAATCCATGTCCGATTTGAGTTGGACACGGATTCGTGGCCTCCAGGGGCGAATCCGTGCTTCAGAGTCGAACGGAATGGAATAATAGGATTCATGTAGCCAACCCTATACATTTGGGATAAAGACTTTGTTGTTATCGTAAACATTCTTTATATTTCATTATATTTGGATGTTTTCAAACATTTTTGTGTATATGCGTCTCACAAGACATTGCTTATGCATGATTTTGTTCTGAGACTAGTCAATAGTTTTGTTTTTTTTTAGAAAATTCTAATACATGTACTCTACAAGGAATGCAAAATCTTTTAAAACCAACTCTCATTTCATGTGCTAAAGTTAAATCCTGTTACGGTGAAACTTCTTTTGGCCTTCTTCCTTCCCTTCTCGAGATTAGAAGCTCAATGTTGACTGTAAATTTCTGAAATTGAGTTTATTTGCTGGATCTGTTGTCTAATCTCGGGACCTAAATGGTTGGTCTTGTTTCAGCTGTAAATTATCTATTTCCCAGTTCTTAGCCTAGATTGATTAGCTTAAAATTTCCCTTTAAAATGAGTAACCTTCTCATTATGTGCAAGATTAAGTTTTTTTTTTTACCACCTCATTCCATTGTATTATGCAGGTACGTTTAAATTGACGCTGCAGTTCACGGAGGATTATCCTAATAAGCCTCCAACGGTTCGGTTTGTTTCACGAATGTTCCATCCAAACAGTAAGTTGAGACTCAGTTATCAAATCACCTTTCTATTTAAAATGCCATTCACATTCATGCACGATGATCTAAACCCATATGCTTCATGATATTTTCTGCTGACTTTCTTGACAATGTGTCAAATCTAAATCACATGTATATGGCGCTTTTCAACAGTATACGCAGATGGAAGCATATGCCTGGATATTTTACAGAATCAATGGAGTCCTATTTATGATGTTGCAGCAATATTGACATCAATTCAGGTAAGCTTTCTGATGTTCTTTTGAACCTTAGAAGGAATAAGGTAATGAGGTATTAAGTAGTATTTTATGTGCTATTACAGTCCACATGCCTTGGTAATGACATTTTTGTGAGACCTTAAAACTAATAGCTGTTCTTGAAAGATTAATCCATTTTGTGTGTCACTTGTATCAGTCTCTTCTCTGTGACCCAAATCCAAACTCCCCAGCAAATTCTGAGGCTGCTCGAATGTTCAGCGAGAACAAGCGAGCATACAACCGAAAAGTTCGTGAGATAGTTGAGCAGAGTTGGACGGCTGACTAAAATGCGAGGAAGAATAACTTGGCCTTTCCATAGGCGAAAATGTTGTATCTATGGAGACTTATATTTTACTTTGTTACTTTCCATAGGCGAAAATGTTGTATCTATGGAGACTTATATTTTACTTTGTTATGAAATATTTCCTTGCTTTTTTTTGGGTGGGGGGCTTGCTTGGTCTAATTCTATCTCCACTATTCTAAATTGCATTAATAGCTTGTTACAATGTAATTTTGTTGAATTAACAGTTTACAGGAATAATTTTTAATAAGCAGGTTATGCTGCAAATTTTCGAATTTGAAGCGGGGGAGATGCAGAGCCAGGATAACATTTCATCGGATATCCTTCTACTTGTTTTTCAGAACTGCTCATTTCTATTATACCTTGCAGGATTAAAATGAGTATTGATTTCATATCGCGAACACTATTTCCATAATACCAATTTGAATAATATGTTAATAGAGAACTGATTTCTTTAACTAAAATTTTCTCAATACATTTATTGCTAAGCTTTTCAAAAATATCAACCCGCTTTGAACACGTTCATTACAATATCTTCTAAAACATCTCTATTAATAATTGTTGATTCATTAATTTTTACATTAGGCTTCTTTTACATTTGGTAATTATGATTAAGCCTCCTTATAGTCGTATTGCTGCACGTCTTTTTTTTTATTTTCGTCTTGTTTATGTCAAAAAATTCCTAGAAATCTATTGTTGTAATTTGACCGCTTGCATTTCATTTATCCTCTTTTATCAAGCTCTCTGGAATAACACAGTTAGTTCTAGTATAAATAAAGATTTTACGGAAGAACTGCTATATTTAACAATTTCCATGAATTCAAATAAATTCAATACAAAATAACTGCGCAGAACAATAAGAAACTAAACTCTTTTAATAGGTAAGAAGTAAATAAAACAAAATTGAGAATATATAATCAAGTATTGCAGAGAGCAACTAACATTAAAAGCTTTTTAAAGTAAAATCCAACTATATACTCCCTGCATTCACCAGGTAAAAAAAAGTTCTCGCGGCTTAGATTTTTGTCATTGCAACATATACTATCCGATGCAGACTGCTGCTTTCTCTGAGATTCACACTGAGTTAGTTTTCCTCTAAACTTAATTTTACAACAGCCAAAAATATGGAGAAGCGTACACCAGAAAACGCTTCATTTGTAACTTGTGCTTCTATTACCTGATGCAGGAAAAGCCTGACGACGCAGTCCTCTCACTCTCTCTTCTCCACTAGATCGTCCCTTATCAGATCCTTTTCGTTTCTCTGTGGACTCTGAGGGATTATTATCAAGTTCAGCATCCTTAAAATGTTCTTCAACTCCCCCAAATTCGATATTTCTCCTAGCAGCAGCATAGTCAAAAGGCTTCACCTGAATCCTTACCTCATTTTCTTGAGATGGTCTCCTGTTCTTTTCACTTATTGATTGAAAACACTGCTGGAAACTGGAGGAAAGATCTGATAGTGAAATGGGCTTCTCCACTGCTTCTGTAGTTTCTTGATCAGTAGTTAGGATTTCTTCATCAGAATCATTGTTGTTCTCTAATTGAATTATTTCTTCCAATTGGGTGATAGGAGATGGCTGATTGGAATTTTGTTGCTGTCGAGCTGCTGGATCAGTTTGTTTGATTGTCTCTGAAGGGCTCGGCTCTGAAATCTTGTCGCTGCCAGAAAATGAATGGAAGGGGAGGACCACTGAGGACTTGATCTGCTCTACCTTGTTCACATTCTTGTCCTGTGATAACAAAATATATTCAACAAAGATTAATCAAAATATAGAAAAGAGTATTTCAATGAACAGGACACTGGTCTGCAATAAACATGTTGGTTATAGTAAACAGCACACTGGTTTGTAATAAACAGGAAATATCAATAGGGTCAATGTAGACGATGAAGAGATTCCAGTGTCAGTCATGGTGTTTCATCACCAGACAACCAGCATATTTGTGTGCCCCAAACATGCAAAAAAGTGAAAGTATTTTCTGGAAAGACATACAGGGAGAGGTTTAGCCCATGTGGAAAAAATCCTTTCTACAGGCTTGGCGTGACAAGATGTTTAAACATGGGCAACAACAACGAGTATTGCTGGTTAAAAATAATATTTTTAGCACTTTTATCACAGCTGAATGGAGAAACAGATGCATACTGACAAGTCCCAAAAACTAGGATAACAAGCATTTTGGCTGCTATTGATAAGTCGGTTTACAAAATCCCAGTCAAAAAGTAGTGTTCTAAATGTCTGACATCAGGGTCATGTGCCAGACGGAAAAAATCAATGTGCGGAAATTGTTCCTATCATGTGCAAATTATGAGTAGAAAAGATTGTGTATATGTAGAAATACTGCCCTTTAACTGTCCTCTACGTAGCAAAGACACTTCAACCATCAACCCATGATCCGCTGCAGAAGGCACATATCAGACACTCCAATTCGAGGTAGTACTTTTGCTTTGTCTCTAATTTTAAAATTTTACTCTATATCGGCATCCTGCATTTAGTCATACTTGTGTACAAAATTCTCTATCTATACAACATAGCCTGTAGCAATCTCTCAATTCCCTTGTTGATTCCTCTATCCATTAAGGATGAACCAATGAAATGATAAAGTCTTGAGCACTTCTGCAGCCAAGTCTAGTTAAGTTAAGCAAAACCAAATTATCTCAACCAACCAATGATGTGGTAATTGTTCCCTCTCTGGATAAGTTGAAAAGGCAAGGAGCACATCTCTACAAATAAAACTTTGACCATGTCAACTCTACTGGAGCTGATTATAGCATATAACCTAACATATGCCTCCAGAAAGAAGCACAAGCTTAAGTATTATGTACAGAAACATGTGGAAGACAGCTGCCAATCAGTCCACACTACCACTATTTAACCAGTGAATACATAAAGACAACTCAAAATAATCATTAAGAATAAAACGCCTATGACGTCACTTAAAATAACCAGACAAAAAAAGTCATAATTCATAAGCTAATGGATACTACATATATGTAATCATTCAATCAAGAAGGAAAAAAGTACATTTAGTGTGAATACTATTTCCAGAGAAGGAAAGAGAAAAATTAAAAGAAACCTGGCTACATACCTGCTCACGAATACCCCTTATAACAGGGTTCAATTTTTTTCTAGATGCCGAATTGCCCAACAATGCTCCAAAACCACTAGTCTGTTTTTTCAATATTTGAACCGAGCCGATACTAGCCTGCAACATGAGAACCAATAAAATCACCTCAACCTTACAACCAAATTTTTTTATTAAATAATTAAGATCACTTTATACCATCTTCTTTGGTTGTGAGAGGCCAGTGTTATCATACTCCATCTTTCCTTCATTGGTTCCAAGTGTATCACATATTTTAGATGGACGGTCAATGTTAGGCGTTGAGATGGAATGCACATCCCCTTTTTCTTGAGGTTTTCCATCTGAAATACCCCATAACTTTTCAGCATCTGTAGGTTTTGCACCCTCGTCCATAGCATCCACAGAAGCTTGAATAATTTTAATATTCCCAGTAACATCAGGATCTTTTGTATGAGAAACTGTAGAATCCACAGGATCCTCTGTACCAGCCAACATTTCAATGTCCGTACCACCTTCAGCCATTTTTTGTCTGTTTGGCTGCACATATGAAGATAATATCAGTACCAGGATCAGATAAGACGGTTTACTCTCTCTTGAGATTTGCCTCTCACTTACTTCCAAACGTGTGTTCTTCAGTTCTTCAGCAATGCTCTCAAAGCCAGAAGACTTTTCAATTGCATTTTTAATTAGAGTAGTGACAGTACTCAGGTTGCGCTCCACAACAGAATGCTTGGACTTCACCAGTCGGCGTAGCTTACTCGTAGAAATAGGCATCTCCCTTGCTTGCGAGTTGCAATGCAAATAAAAAAATCAAGTCAGTATAAACTGTCCTGGAATTAATATTAACCATGAAACATAACTGAAAATTTACGGATATAAGTATTTCAAAAATCAAGTACCAATCTCAAGTAGTGCTTTGTTAGGCAATACATATCCAGTACTTTCATCTTCCTCACGAGCAACTTTGTCTCGCCACGCATGTAACGCCTGTTACAATAGCAAAATTATGTTTTAAATCAAGAAACGGTAACGAGATAATTTAACAAAAATTTTAAATAGTATCAGATATACATTAAGCAATTTATTTATGGGCTATGGCTCTTAATTAAGTGGGCCCTATCAGGCATAAGCAGTAAATGAAACCATTTTCTCCATTTAGTAAGCGAAAATAACTCGACACTTCTGCTCAGAGTGTTTTATGACCATTGAGCAGCACGATGTGATTTAAACATTGAATTCTACTACACTATCAAAACAATTCACATTTGGGACTAAGAGAATGTTGGGCAAGTGGTCACAGTGCATTATAATCAAAGTGGATTGTTATCCACGAAAATGGATTGTTTTGTGGATTAATACCACTCTTGGATGTTTCGCAAGGGGATTATGTTGGAGTATAATTCACCAAAAAATGATCTAGGGTTCCACAGATTATTTTTCAGTGGATTATAATCCATAAAGTTTGGTAGTGTAAGAGACAGATATACCCCTCAATGCCCTCATCATTTCAGAAAATCTCAAACCCCATTTATTGAACAGATCTATATCTCTCCAACCCCATTTCCATTTTCGTCATTTTGACAGCAATGGTGGATGTAATATACATATTTGCCAGACACTCTACTATTAAAAACAGATTATAATTAACTACATTCACCAAACAGTCTAAATTACAATCCCCTTGGATTGTAATCCATGTGGATTATAACCCAAATGGAATATAGTTATCCAAAGTTCCCAAGCATTTGCGGATTATTCACTCCCGCTCTCTTCTTTTGGACCTCTGCTCACTCATGTTTCCTTTCTTATGTTTCCCCCCTCAAAACAGCACTCTGAAAAAAGAAACATAAAGCAATTGAAGAGGGAAGAGATCAGCCGAAAAAAACAATAAAGAAGATTTGACCATCATGCTCTCATTTTATGAATTAGTAGCTTGTTCCAAAGCAGACTAGCCGAGACCCTATTTCAGATACTTCTGACACCATACAACTATTGTAAAATTTCTATCTTAGTTCAGTTTGATGCACTTACTGAAGCAATAGAGAGCTGCTTCGGGTTAAAATCAGCTTCCTGTAACCTGACAACAGATATAACGAACATTAGAAGTAAGAAAACAGGAAGAAAACCAGCATGAAGTTATATGAGCAGGGTAAAAATGATTGAATACCCATATATATAGAGAAATGAGTTATCTGTCAGTATCTCTTTCTGATAGAGATGAAGACATAGATCATAACTGCGCTTATAGACCTGTAATCATCAGAAGAACTGCATCTTTATAAAGATAAAATTTAAATACATGAAATCAGCTGTAAGGTTATATCAGTGCTACACATTACATTAATAAATAGTAGCAAATAATATCTTTACTTTAAAATAGGTGTAAATATTAAATAAGTACAGAAGCAAATATGTTAAGTTAAACATTCGTCGCGACATGATGCTTATTATCCTTCACAAAATGACCTCACATTTGAGATACAACAAAAAATATTTGCTTGATTTCAGTTTTGACAACATTCAAGTAACAATCATTCTTGTAGAATTCCTTTAGACTATATTATTAAGTATCTAAGTCACCCACCTCTAAGAGAAGGTCATCTTCATCTGTGGATGCTGATATCAGTCTGTGCCTCATTAAATCATATACATATAATAAATAGTGTGTATCTTCCCTCCCATACCTGTGACAAAGGAAGTCCCATTAGAACTTTATAGTAAAAAAGAAAAAGAAAACTAAATTATGTTATTCGTTATAGGGTCTTAAATCAAAAACTAAATTCTACTGTAGATGGCAGGCATTCTTTACTTGATCATTTCATCAGGCAATGGACGCAGTCTCCAATCTGCATTCTGATATCTGCAAAAAGGCATTATATCCAGCAACAATAATGCAAACAGTTAGAGAGGGGAAGGGAGTACAAGCACACTTGTGTAAAAACACATCTAAGAAATTGCAGAACAGAGGAAGAGCATTACTCTTTATTTGCATTTACTCCACAAAAGTGATGCAAAAGATACTCGAGACTGTTTCTTTCTAATTGCAACACCCTTGATGCCTGAATATAAAAAAAGAACAATCAAACAAGCGAAAAATAAATAACAAATACTGCAAACAACTAACATCTAGGTTTTGAAAAGCAGATATAAAGCTGACATGTCATGCAATAACTCACAAGCAGCAAACCTCTAGGTTTTCAGAAGCAAATATAAGTGACAGGTATCGCCCAGACATTTTTTAATTTGATATGCAATAATCTTTCTTTTTTGCTTTAATGATTATGTATGTACTTTGTTAACATGCTAGGGTGTTTTCTATTCCTCATTGTACCATCTTTGTGTAGATAACATATATTTTGGTTGATAGTTTTGAAGTATAAGTTCTCTTTTCAGTATAACTGTAGTACTGTACAAACCCTTTAGGATAACTAGGGAGGTCATTCTGTATTTAAAGCTTTCTATACTGCAAAATCTGCAATAAAATGATGCATGTGTTTTCTAAGACGATGAAACTGAGGGAAAAGTAAAATGCCAAAATAGATGCCAAATGGATGGTATGAAATCTATACCTGCCCTGTGTCAAAAAGATTACAGATATATATGCCAAAGTCTCGTTGAAGCCACTCTACGTCGCGATCTGCCCCATGCATTACCTAATTAGGAAAGTTAGCAGACCATAAACTGAGATAGAAAATTATTTACACAAAATATCTTTTTGGAAAAAATAAAACACCTTTCTCTTGGAAGGATCTTTAAAAACTTCTCTCAAGTATGGACCAACATGTACACGCAACTTGAGGGTGTCAATTATGAAGTCCTCTGCTCTTGTTGAAATTTGCATCAGACAAGTTAGTCCTTGAAACGATCTGTACTGATTGTGCTCCAAGTCAACCTGGCATAAAACATCAAGTAATTTGTTGATAAAATATAATCTAGCATATCTGAAATAAACTGTAATCTCCATATAGATGGATTACAGCTTCTACCATTTCAATGTTTACTGACATCAACAGAGTAGAAAAAGTATTGATACAGAAATGAATGACCAGTGTAGAAAAAACTGATGAAGGCACTTAACACATCATTTACCGCCATGTATGAAAGTGTTTGCCTTAGCCCGTATCTTTTCACTATAGTTATGGACCAACTTACTAGACATATTCAGGATGAAGTGCCATAGTATATGTTTTTTGTTGATGATATAGTGTTAGGTGACGAGACTAGAACAAGTATAACTTCTAAATTAGAAAGGTGGGGGCAACATCTTGAAACTAAAGGCTTTAAAATTAGTAGAATAAAAAAAGAATACATGGAATGCATTTTTAGTAAAACTAGAAAGAGAGAAGAGCTTATAATACATATTGATGGCCAAGAAATATCTAAAAGCTATAGGTTCCGCTATTTAGGATCAAGCATTGGGCATGATGGTGAGACTGATAATGACATTGTCAGTCAATTAAATCAGGATTGTTAAAATGAAGAAGTGCTTCAGGAGTCTTCTGTGATCATAGAATATTTGTTAGGCTTAAGGGAAAATTTTATAATAAGACAACTATAAACAACCAATGATTTATGCATTAGAATGTTGGGCAATTAATAAACATGTGTAAAAAATGTATAGCAAAAATGAGCATGCTGAGATGGTCTTGTACGTATACACTAAAAGCAAGATAAGAAATGAATGCATCCTTAGTAAATTAGAGGTTACTCCTATTAAGGATAAAATGAGAAAGAATCGATTAAGGTGGCATGACCATGTACAATGTAGACCTCTTAATGAACCGGTTAGAAGAAGTGATAATATTATAGTTAATCGAGCAAAGAGAGAGGTAGACCTAGAATGACTTAGTTATAGGCAAGGTTTTAAATGTTGGATGTCGGGTGCATGTCAGATGGCTAAAATTCATGCCGGATAGCGGAAATCGGGATATATCGGGGGATATGGACTAAATATCTGATTGCTATATCGGGTGGTGTGTGTATATATAATATCATGTTCTAAATGTAATTTAAGCATTCCTAAATTCAATATAAGCATATTTTATAAATTTTAGAGGCGGCGTCGGCAATGAGTGGATTCTGATGTCGCGGGGAGGTAGTGTCGGGGCTCTTCTTCTTCTTCGTTTGCTCGGGATCCTTCAGATGAGTCACACACCACCCTCTACCCTTTATCCCGATGACGGGATAACCTATCACCGTCGAGTTCAGTTGGGGTTCGGATTTCGGGACGCAACAGGAGATGGATGACGGGGGTCCGAGATGGAGATGGGGAAGGGTGTCGTCGTCCACGAAAGAAGTGATCGGTTTTCAAGTCCGCTGTTGCCCTAAATTTTCTCTTTTCTTTCTATCGGGTTCATAAGAAACCCTTAAACATGAGAAGGGGTCAAACAGTCATCGTTCACGAAAGGAGTGATCGGTTCCCAAGTCCGTTGTAGCCCTAATTTTTTTTTTCTTTCTATCAGGTTCATAAGAAACCCTTAAACATGAAAACGGGTCAAACAGGTTTGGATTTTATCACTAAACTTAAACCCAATAATAAAAAATAGATCTAAAAAAGGGCCACATCAGCCGAATTTTTAAGGCTGAAAAATCAGCCGATAAGCCCGATATGGCCCCAATATTTCCGATTTGGCATTGAAAACCGACATACGAGTTGAAAACGCCTATGTCGTGTCACTCAAGCCCTCAAACCGACATGTCGAACATGTCGGCCGACATTAAAACCTTGGTTATAGGCAATTAAGAAGGATATGACTACAGGAGCATGGTTCTAAATGTCAGCCAACATGTCGCATCGGAGACTAGAGAGACAAACATGGCCATTTTAGGTAGGATATCGTTTTTGAGGTCCATATCAAACATGTCAGGAGACATTGCAGACATATCGATTGTTTCTTTTTTTTTCTTTTTTTGGGTGGAGTTGATAATTATTGGGGTTTGGGTTTAGTACTCAAAACCCAAACCCGATTGACTCTTTTTTAGCCTTTTGTCCCATAGCAAATGCATAGAATACATATTAGGGCAAAGAAAAAAATGCTACTCCTTTTTTGCCGTGATCTCCTCTCGTTTGTCTTCGTCTCTATAATTTAAAAATGAGAATTCATACGCGTGACGTAAACAATTAAATTTGAACCAATAAGTTCGAACCATAGCTTAAAATCAATCTAAATTTTAACACTTTATGTCAATTTTATGCAAAGCACTTAACTTTGTCAATTTTATGCAAGACACAATGTATATTTTATTTATTGTTGGCATAATATTCCATTATTTCTCTTCAAGAAATGGAAAACAACTTGTGTCTTCATGTTGAATACTCAACTCAAGTAGGATAAGCTATAACAAAACAAATGTGTTCCATCTTGGTGACCAAAATTGAGTAGATATCCATCCAATATGAGTCATATGACAATTCGACATTTAGTATATATCCCCCGATATATCCCCGATTTTCGCTATCCGACATAAACTTTTATCCATCCGACATGAACCCGACATCCGACATTTAAAACCTTGCAAAAGAGATGGCCCATAATAAAACAAAATGGAAGAATATGATTTATGTAGCCGACCCCAAACATCTGGGATAGTATTGTATGAAAGTGTTTACAATTGTAGTTCTTCAAACTCAGTCTAGAAAGTTATTATAATGTTTGAGGTTGTAAAAACAATTTTTAAGGATCCCATCTAGTCAATCTCTCTTAAAAACAAAAAAGATCAGCATTGAAAATGCACCCAAATCAACCTGAAGACACAAGCTAGCCCAAAAAAAAATATATATGTTCTCCTAAGGCGTGGGATGATAAGGAACGAGCTAGGCCCAGACCTGGGTGGAGACGCATCTAAATCTCATGCATAAGCTACATCTTTTGCTACCCTGAAATTCCACAACACTAAACTTCTTTGCTTAATAACCACCAAACCTCAGCAACCTTCCTCTCTCTATCATAGCACCGACTCTTACACAAGCCACCATCATCGGATACCCATGTTCCTGCTCCCCCTCAACCCCTCATTCACTCCCCTTCTTTCTAAAGTATAGTTTTCCCCATGAGTCCCACAATACAAATAATAAATCTCATAATGTCATTGTTGTTAAAGAATGCCCCTCCCCTAATAAACAAACCATCACAAATCACCTACACGGCTACACAGCTACAATTATTTACTTGTATGGAAGAACAAAAAGAAAAGAAACAATTCAGAAAGCAAGCAAACTAGATAGCACACAAGAGGCTCAGGTCAGGGGTTGGGCCAAGCCAAGGGCACAACTCTGGATCATAGGGGCATGAGTACGGTAACATATTGCCACTTCAGCAAAAAGTAGGCTCAAACTGAGGTGATCACAGTCCTACACTTAGAAAGGATGATGTGCCCGCTCGTTAGCATGGAGACATATCTTTTAAGACAGGAAGAAGGAGCCTTTGCACTAAATTACATCATGGTGCATTTATTATGGTGCTCTCGAGTATCCACTAGGTAACATAACTGATATTAGCATATAGATAATACAGCAGCAATCCTGTTGGACAAGGTACAATTATAATTACACTGCTCGGAGCTGAAACAAAACGAACACGAGTAATTATAGGATAAAGGATATGGCACAAGGTACAATTATAATTACACTGCTCGGAGCTGAAACAAAACGAACACGAGTAAATATAGGATAAAGGATATAGCACATATGAAGATCAAGAAACCAATATCATTTATGAATAAATAACTAGAATTAGACTACCTTGATAGATATATTGAAAAGACAAGCAAAGAGTACTCACCGCAAATTCATTCACATTTCGCAACTTGGCAGCGAGCTCCTTTAATTCTTTCAACCCATCCACAAGCACAAATGGAGTGCTATCCAAAGGAAGTGGTTTAGCTATCTCAACCTCCTCAATACTTCTATCAATAAAGTCCTCCACAGATAATCTCTCCTGAACATCAAGATATTTTATAATTAGTACATTTATTTGAAGTAAAATATGGCATATCTGATAACAGTTGCAGTTGAAAAGCATGAAGTGCTTAAAGTTCTTAGCTATTATTGCATGATGACACAAGAAAATTTAACATATAGAACCAATAAAGCAACTACAAGATAATCGGCTTGGAAAGACTCAGATGAAGCCGAACATCCTACAGGGTGATCACATTATAATTGGATTAGAATATCCAGTCCCTACTCAAATTGGTAAAGTTGGAAATTTGTAATAAACTCAAACATCAACCATCTTACACAATTATTTGTGTGACACGTACACATTTATAATATATGTTTTCTTAGATTTAAGAAGGTAATATAAATTTGGAAATCACATAATACGCAACCCTTTAACATTGGTTTTACTTTTCTAAACAACAGTTTAGCTAGATTATTCAAACTACTAACAGGTCTCAATATGGCCAAACTGAGGATCATTGCTCGGAGGCAAGGGATTGACTAAGGCTGCTTCACAACTGTTCCACATACTAGCCTTCTCGGTTTATATGCCACATTTCACTCTTAACTATAATTTGCAGAAAATGAATGCTAAAAGGGCATATTCATGTTGAAGGGTTGCATGTTATACTTCATTACCATATTCTAAACAACTTGCATGGGATCAACCATTATAATGCAAATCAAAGCAAATGAACTCAACCTGGCAATCTCACTTTGTGCAAAGTGACTTTTGGTAGGCTCTTTCAAGATTACCTACGCAAGATCCAACCTAATACAACTAAAACTCTTCCAAAACTTCCCTATAATATGCAATCGCTGTATGCCCTTAATGCCTTGGAATTATACAAGTTCCAATAGCTTTGCAATTTCACACATTGTACTCTTTGCTAAACAACTAGCTTAAGCAGATTGAGTATGAGCTATGTTGCATGGATACAGATACGGTACACGGAAAATTTGTAATATATATACATACATATAGCATTGTTGAATGCACATGCATGATAAATTTTGTAAATTTAATCAGAAATCGGTATATTGGTAATATCTTGTTAACCGAAGAATTCATTATTCACCATATATCTCCTTCGTTTCAATTTTTAAGTTGTGACTTTATCAATTTTTTACATCTCCTAATGATATTGTCTTTGTACTTTTTTGTATTCTTTTATTCTATAACGTATTCAAACACATTATCCAGTATGAAGTCTCTCACACTATATCTTAAAGATGAAGATTTTTTCACTCGTTACTCATAAGTTTCTTTTTTTTCCCTAATGTTTCCTTTATACAATAGACTATATCTTTGTAAATTTTGATTCTTTTAGGCTAGAACATATTCCAGTGCTACATTGAGTATGTCATCATACTATATTGTAAAGATGAGGAGGATTTTTCCATTCATTACTTCCTCTTTTCCTTAATATTTCCTTTAGACAATATAATATGTGGAGATAGCCGCATTATATATGTCATAATTAGAGGTGTCCTTGGCTATGTTGGTTTTTATGTATCCATTAATTTGTAAAAGAAACTTATTATTTTCTCTTTATAACTTTTTACATCTTAAAAATGAAATTGGTACTCATTTATATGCACCCAATTCCATCGCACAGTGTGTGTGGTCTAGAATGCTGTTTAATCAAATCAAATAAAGAAAAAAGAAAGGAAAGGAACAAAAACTCAAACTGTAAAATTACCATTTGATCCTCTTAATTACATTAGAAAAGATGAGATGTCCTCCATTCCTTCAAGTTTTGTCTGGTCACCACTTGGGTTTCTTTATACAGTTGCAATAGTTATAGTACTGTGTGTATGAGAAAAATAGATATCCTTGGTACCAAGGACAAATTTGGTCCTTGGTAGTGAGAGATGGCTACATCTTAATCACTAGTGGTCCCCACTTGAAGATGGTCCCCTCTAACCCATGTGAAAGTTCTCCCCTTTGAATGTATGGATGAGAATGAGTCACCTCACTACCAAGGACCAAAAATTCATATTCCTTATATCTATATTTATATATATATATATAGAGAGGAGATTTGAGCCGTATAGTGTAGCTGTAGAAGCTGCGGTACTACCGCCAGATTCTATTATGGATCAGCGAGTCCATGGTCCGGCCAATGTGAAGGGGGATTGAGATTCTTATCATGCTTTGCGCCCTATCGCGTAGCATAGGTACGAACAAGCAATATATATATATATATATATATGAGGAATGAGTATCCATGGTAAGGACCAACTTAGGTTCTTGATAGTGAGATGGGTCATTTCCATACACTCATTTAAAATAGAGGTCATTTTCATGTAAGGACCAACTCGGGTTCTTAATAGTGAGACGGGTCATTTCCATACAATTATTTATAAAAGAGACCATTTTCATGTGGGGACCATTTAGATGAGGGGCTGAGATGTAGCCACCTCACTACCCATGACCAAGTTGTCCTTGGTACCAAGTATACTCATTTCTCTCTATATATATAATATAATATATATGAGAAAAAGAGGGGAAAACTCCTATAAAGTTAAGTCGATAGAGGCTCTTGTCCATCAATAATTGTGACCATTGGATTTAGTTGATTACAGAGATCTAGATTGAATGATGTGACATGAATTAATGAGGGGTACTTTTGCAAATTCAGCTTAACACAAAAATGAAATAAAAGAAGAAAATCCCTCATCCTTTACAACAAAAAATAAATTTGTATCTTCTCCCATCTTTCTAAGGCATCGCAGAGGAGAAAAACTATCACCGCCTTTTCCCTCTCATTCACTACAAATGTGACTCGCCTCAATTTCCACTCTTGAGTCTTGACACTCTGTCATCCCCTCTCACGGCCACCGTGAAGGCACAAACACCGCCTCTTAGTCATCCCTTCTCCTCGCCACCGCAAACACCGCCTCCAAGTGAGCACAATATTTCCCCTCTTCATTGCAGCCTGCAAGAGCGACCTCTCCACGCATTCATTGTTTCCATCCCCCTCGCAGCGAGTATCACTTTCCCTTTTTTTACTTCAATAAACACAAGAAATCCTTGCGATCGCAGCAGCTAGCCTATATTCACTAGGAAGGAACTTGCGTTCTCACTTGATCGTATTAACCTATTCAAGTCTAGATCAATTGTTATTTTGTTCTCGAGAATTATATTTGGATCTTGTGTTTTTGTGTACCCTCTATTTGATGAATGTACTAATAAATTTTGCGTTTATATCTTCCTTTGATGAATGTATTGCAAATTTTTAATACATGTGCTACTTTGTTTGGTGCTAAGCATGTGCTAATTTGAGCACACATCTTCAATTTTGTGATACTTTCTGAATTCATTATTCATGCAAATAGGTTAGAATATATGAATTCGCGCACAATTTGGATGCACATTTTGTACTAATTTGTTGGATGTTAAGTATGCGTTAATATGGTCAGTAAGCTATTTGCACATTTTCAACAAGTTGAAAAGTAAGTGGTTAAAAACTAGGTATAACTTTTAACAATAGCCATGCTATACATTGTTCAAAAATATACAAAATTAACCCTTTCTCTCGAGTCTAAGACCAATTTGTTTCCGCACCTGCTTGTTTTTTCCTCTGCTGCAGGGAATAAATGTAAAAGATAATTCCTTTTCCAATGTTGTTTTGCACAGAGATGAATATTCAAAAGTATTCCTCCATTAATTCATGCTACATTATCCAATCTAGATATCATCAATCAACTAAATCCAAGGGTCACAAAAATAGCCTCCC